ACATATCTTTCCTCCTGTCCTATTAGATCATGCTAATTGTGTGGTGAATCAACGTAGTGTTTCATAGAATGTCCGTAAAATCTATGTTCTTACAGTCTGTATTTTGGCAAAGGGTATAGGAGCTTGCATGTAAGGCAGGAAAGATCATAAACTTCCCAAAGGAATCGGGTTCTCCTTTCTCAGGGGTATAACAAAAAAGCACGTTGGCTAGATCAAGTGACAGATGTTGTTTTAATACACTCTAGCAGAGAAGTCATACTGAGTACAGTTGCTGTCAGAGCCATTGTCATCTCCTGTTATATTCCACTAAATTTTTACAGAAGTCAGCATGGCAGAATATCAGGACTCTTTACAAAGTAAGGAGAAAGGTGGAATTAAAATTTTTATTTTGATGCAAAAATTTGAAGTTTATGTATTATCCATTATCTCATTTATGAATCCTTAGAAACAGGACAATGACAAGGCTTAATTCTACTAATTTGTTGTGAAATTTAGTATATTTCCAATTTATTCTTTTTGCTAGGAATGGAAGCAACTTTGAAGGCATATGGTTTCTCCCTCCTATCTACAAAACCTCTTATCTAAGATGTCAAAAATAAATGCCAAGATTCCTTAAACTACCAAGTGTGTGATTTTCTATTATCCTATTGGAAATCAGGAAAGTGCCACTGGGTTGGTTCACGGGACAGTGAGCCCAGCAAGAGCTGGACTTTGGCTAAAATTTAATAGGTCCTGCATTTACCCATTTGTCTCTGGAAAAAAAGAGACAAATTAGCTAAATGTCTGTTCACAGAATGTGGCAGTTAAACAGAATTTTTTGGAGATGAGAAGAGGATACCAACTTAAATGAGGGTCTAGGACAAGGATGACTTGAGCGGTTATAGATGCTGGGTCTTCAGGGACAGCGAAGTCATCTAAATAAAACAATTACCCATTTGAAGACATAGGAATGCAACTTGATGAGCAGTCAAATCTTGAGGACTTCTATAGAATTGCAGAAGATTAAGATGAAATTCACAAACCTATAAAACCTCAAGGGGCTAGCATGTGACAACATTAATTTAGATGCTGTGTGGGAAATTGGCATTCCACATTGGAGCAGTGGTTCAATTCATGGCTATTCCTCTTTTAGTCCATATCCCTGCTGGTATACTTTGGAAAGCAGCAGAAAATGGCCCAAGTGACTGGCTCCTGATGCCCATGTGGGTTACCTGGATGGAGTACCTGGGTCTTCACTGGCATGGCCCACTCCAGCCATTGTAGCCATTTAAGAAATGAACCAGTCAGAGGAAAGAAGATCTCCATCTCTCTCTCTACCACTCTATTCTTCAAATAATTCTTTGGAATAATAATAAAACTTAATTGTTTAAAAGAAAATAGGGAAAAGTAACCTTAGAAAACATTTTAAGCAGAATGATAATAAGAGGAAACGTCAGAGGGAATGAGGAAATATCCATCCATTAGTGGATGCAAAATATGGGAGTTTTCTTGCCTCCATTTCACTCCCTCCCTTAGTGATGGACAAAATCATGCTTTCTTCTTCCTTTGAGTCCCTGTTGGGCCTGATGCATAAGTCAGTGGCTGAATCCTTGCCTTGCATTCAGCAGGATCCCATGTGGGCATCAGTTCATGTCTCAGCTGCCTCATTTCCTATACAGCTCCCTGCTGGTGGCCTGAGAAAGCAGTAGAGGGCTGCTCAAAACGTTGTGATCCTACACTAACATGGGAGACCCAGAAAAATCTCCAGGATCCTGGCTTTGGATCAGCTCAGCTCTGGCCCTGAGGCCACTTGAGGGGTGAACTAGCAGACAGATGATCTTTTTCTCTGTATCTCTGTAAAACTGTATTTCCAAGAAAGAATAAATAAATCTTTCTACAAAATTTCTGCTACCTACTCTTCAACACCTTTTAAGCTCAGTATTTACAACCTTCCTAGCTCTGCTGTTTAAATCACGCAGTTTCTGTCTGATTAAGCACTGATGGTCCAAACAGTTTGATGTTGCTCCTATACTAACAGGTACAGAAACTGGTGTCAAAACATGTCCTAGAGAAAGTTCTTGGAATATATTTATTCATGTATATAATAAGGAGATACCTCATGCACACCAGTAGGAACTTTAGCTTAGTAGGAATGACCCCCAATAGCACTATGCCCATCCCAATCCTGCCCCATGTGCTTGCCAGTATGTGCAGCAGACTGGTCCAGTCTGTCCCACATCCCATTCAGCTTTCATACGCTTCAGTGGGCATTGAAGCCTAGCAGGCTTATTGTGTGGTGGGCTGGGCTACAGAATCTACTGGTTTTTACAACAGGTAGGGCTGGATGTAGCAATTGTAACTACCAGTGTGTGTGCATGGGCTGATGTGGATCACAGTCAAAGCTGGACCCTGCACTGACAAGCATACACAGGAGTCAGATCTGAGATCAAATGAGACACACTTTCTTTCAGAATCTCAACTGAACTGCTGGACTCAGAGCTCCAATCATGGGAAGAATTGCATGCACTATAGTCTGACTGTGCAGTGCATGTCACAGAACTGGGTATCTTCAGTGGCTTAAAGCAGTAGATGGCACATGCAGATGCACATGGAGGGTATGGCAGTCCATTGGAGCCTGCAGAAGGCATCTGGTACCATAGAAGAGGATGGAGGGCAGAACAAATTGGTCAACTGCCCTAGCCAAGTTTTGACAGGAAACATGTGGGTGATTGGAGACTCTAAGGTTGACTATGTCAGCCAATGGACTTTGGAAGGATTTCCTCATTCTTGAAATGGTGAGATTGACAGCCATTTAGAACTACTGAAACCACTTGTGCAGAATCCTTGGATCATGCTCCAGATCAGGGAGCCTGGATTGACATCCGGTGGCTGTTCCCCTTCCCTGGATATTGAGGCAGTTAGGAGGCTGGGTGTGGATTCTCCTCTTATTTTCTCCCTTCCCCCAAATTCCAGAAGAAATAAAAAAGTAGAAGCAAAGTTCTCACCCACTTTCCTTGACTCTTACCATCCTAATCAACTATGTAAATATCATCAAAAATAAAATAAAATAAAATAAGATGCCTGTATTATTGAAACAAATGGAAAGGTTGACAATGTTTTAAGCCCAGGGAAAATATGGAGAAAGGTTTATGGTTGAGAAAGAAGATAAAGCAGTTCAGTGGTTGGGGGTGGGAATGCAAAACTTGTTAGGTCCGGAGATAAAACTACAGGTTTATGAAGGTCCCAGATCACTCAGGATTTTTCACATTAAAGACTCTGGATAGTATGTTGAGGTCATATCTGTGTGTATAGAAACTAAGTAATGCAGAAAATTCAGATCAGAATATTTTCATAGAGTAAAAACTCATGAAGAACCCAAGTTGGAATATGGAAACAATCAGCATACTGCTGAAGGGATTTGTGGTGCTTCCTAAGGAGGACTTTAATGGGAGAGACTGAGAAAGCGTTCCTGGTATAGGCAGCAGGCAGGAACAACAGGAGCTGATACCTGAGTCAACACTCAGGAGCAAAGGACAGAGTCAGAGGCCAAGAGGAGGTCAGGATCCCAGGTACATTGGTGGTTCTGTTCAGTTCTGAGACACAGAAGGAGCAGAGGTGAAGAGACATGATGGCAAGCCGAGCTGGATTTGGAACGGAATATATTTTAAGAAATTTTGAAGAATGGCAAAATACATAATTGGAAATGACCAGAATGTCTCTTGGAGTAAATAGGAGTTCAAGACATAACAGCGATTGTTTTTGTCTTATTTTAAATCAGGATTTCTTAATCATTGGTAGATGTAAGTCCTTGGATCCCAAAAATCATATGCCAAATTTTTATTCAAGTGAATATGGAGACTAACGTGTTTCCACTCCCCACTGCTCACCCAAAGTTAAAATGATGGATAGATTCTGAAAACTTTTATGTAGTATGCACACAATGGACACAGAACTATTTTATTTGTTTTATTTTCATATAAATTAACATTCTAGAAAAATTGAAATAGAAACACTAAATACAGTATTGCACATAGCGATCTTTGTTAAATGCCCTATTATTTCATTGAAGGATGGAAATCTACACCTTGGAGGGACCAAAGGGACAGGAAGACTACAAATCAACAACCAAAAAAAAAAAAATCCACTACTGTTTCTTTGCACTTATACTACAAACTAAAAGAGACTGTACTTTACATAAGTACAAACACAGCTGTGATTTAAAACATTGCTTCTTACATTGTTTTCCATAATGCTTTGCAACAGCAATAAGCTCTCCCCTTTATTCACAACCATTACTCGCAACAAACATCATTAATCGTAATTTTTAAAAAACAAACAGTAATGTTAGAAAAAATTATCACAACTCATCATGAACTGAATTTAAATTACCCACAGAAAGAGTACAAGAAAACAAAACCAAATATTTTCCTAGACTCCTGTAGATAATGATTCATCATATTCTCATTAATCATCTGCTATGACACACAAAGACAGTCCCAATGATGTCAAAATTCTCAGGCAGGTAACTATTTAGTGAATTCTAGATAGATGCCAATTCATCCAAAAATTCAATATCCACCCCTCCCCCCACTGACTATTAGTCATGTTGGGCAATTTTATGAGCTACATTTATGTTTATCCTTCAAAATATTAGGTAAATTTTCTAATGTGAAGTATTATGGTAAAAATTATAGAGGCACATCTTTAATGAATTCTGTTATAGATTAGCTCATCATAGGATCTCAATAGACATATTCTGATAAAAATCCTCAATAAGCTTACAATTCTTACTCTTTCCTATTCAATTAGAAGAAAGTATTTTGTTTTGCTATGTATTCTCTTCATTACTTGTTTGAGTTTTAAAAAAGATAATATTCTTCTGCAAATATATATTTATTGGGCGCAACCCAAGAGTTGGAGAAGCATTGGCCATGACACAGAAACGGTGCTTAAATTTTAAAATAGAAAAATTTACATGTAACATGAAACTGATACAAACAACTCACCAGAAATAACATTTTACCCAGAAATCTAAATACAATGAAGTAGGAGCATTGGTTGTCAGTAGAACAGGAAAGGTTTTTTTTTTTTTTTCCTATGACAAGGAATAGTCTCACAAAAGTAAATTTTAGACTAATGTTTTGCATGTTCAGACCTGACGCAGATACTGCCTCTTATTACATGCTCTTTTGGTCTACTAGTATAACACTATAAACTTTTAAAAAAAGAAAGATGTCAGTCAAGTTCTCCACTGGTCTACCACTTTTGCATTTTTATGTGAATATACAGTAAAATTCAATAATCAGTAAACAGTCTAGAAAACACAAAGATTATACAAGAGCTCAAGAAGAAAATGATTTGCATGGATGTAGTTTCCTTTCCACCCTCAGGTCAGTTGGGTTTTGCGAAAATTGTGGCAATGACTTATTCTGCTTTTCACTGTTTAGGTTTTCATGCTTATCTTTGCTTTCTGAAAATAAATACATAGATAAAAAGTTATAGTTAGAAACAAGAACTTTAAAAAAAACAAAAGCGTAGAGAGTAGCCCACATGATGTATTTTCATTTGGATTAAAGTTAGGAAAATGCAAAAGAATCATCAGCTCACAAAGGGAAACAATGTAAGTAGGACCCATTTGGTCTTTACTAATCTTCATCAGGACAAACTGGCAAAGTGTGGGGGAAAATGTTTTTAAAATTTAATTCTAGACTGATGTGAAAAGTACCAGCTCATCTTCCTCTGTCTCAGCCTTATATAGATAGGAGAAATAGGAAAAGAACCAGTTCATTTCATGGTTCAGGTACTTTAATTCTTCTCTATTCTGGTACTTAAAATAGTTATGATTGAAGTACATGATTATTCCTCCTCATTTGATAAAGTCTTTGGATTGAACTTCAATCAAAAAAGAGCAGCAAATAAACTGAACTGTAAAAGAATACGCATTCTTAAGTAAGATTAATTTGCTAGGGGAAAATTAATGGAAAATAGCTTTACATAAAGATTTAATTCTTAACTTTGGTCTAACATCATGTCTTTCTCATTTAAACAAAACACACTAATCCAATTCAAAACGCTCCTATTTTGAGGGCTAACTCAACTTTTTACTTAGAATAGAGCTGTTTCACCAGCATTTGGTACCAAATGATGATTCTTCAAAACTTACCAGATACTGCTGTATTACAAAGGACAGCATTTCATTTCAATCAAGGTATTTAATTTTATAAGAAGGATGGGCAAAGAGAGCATTTAAAGCAGTGCGTTAAACAGAGCCCACGGAATGACAATTGTGAAGCACTCAGTAATGTCGAGACATTTGGTCTTTGAACTAGGTTTGGGCACGCAGAGCAAACCATAACAGTGCCCTTGCCATGTCTCAACTGTGTTTTAGATGTCAACGGTGGTCACTCTGGATTCACACACAGCCTCGGAATATTACATCTACATAATCAAAACCATGAACAATTCGTTTCTTGCCTCCATTGCCAACACACACATATTCACATGTGTGTGCATGCTTGACAGGTTGATCTTACTTACTAAGCCAGAAGCTAACTCTGTACCTGAACTTCAGTCTAAAAGCCTAAGAAAATCAAAAGTTAAAAGCCAAAAAAAAATTTTTTTTTTTTACTCACAATTCCAGAGTCATGTCTTGGTTTTATTTTATAAAGAGATTTTCCTTTCTTCTGCCTACACACCTCTTCAGCTTCTTTTACTCTGTATGGGGAGAACACACAAGTAAGTAAAAAACAAACAAAAAACTACATGGATAAAAGATTCCCCTTACGTTGGATAAGCAAACCACAGTTCATTAAGCCGTTTAACTATTGAAGAGAATAATGCCACCTACTCAGAATACTATTTGTCTCTTGACTTAAAAACATCTTCAGCTGAAGAGAATTATTCATCCAGAAGTTCTAAACTTGGAATCAACGGATGACAGACAGAATGCTACAAGAACACATACATATTTTTGTGCAGAGGATACATGCAGGAATCTTATATACAACAAAGTAACAGCAGATGAATGTAGAGTTTGCTATATCATATAAATGAGACCTTCATCATTATACAAACCATACACATTAAAACAATCAGGAATACCATGCAAAATCACATGCTTACTATAGCGGTTTCAGACTCAGTCTCTGCACTACACATACCCATGCGTGGGGGTTATTTTGTCACAAATACTGGGGAGTTGCTAAAACTTTAGCTCCATCAAGTGTGTAAAAATATTAGTAGTTCAAGTGATATGAAATAGAGAACAAACACAATATGTTTTAATATCTTTAGGATTTTTCCCTTTTTAAGATTTTTATAGGCATGCTATGGACAATGAAGGAGCAGAAATGCCCAGATTTAAGGCTTTGGACTGCTATTCAAAGCTGGTACCATACAAATACTCTTAACCCTGGTACTCCCCCCAAAGAGTAAAATGGCTCAATCATTTCACCTTTAAAATTATTACTATTAGTAGTTACTACCAGTATCATCCAGAGTGGCTATGAAGATCCAGTACATTTTCACTTAAAAAAAATTCTTGTGCAATTGGAAAATACCATGAAACACAATTGCTGTAAACTGCCTTTCTGTTTACAAAAGGAAGGAAAGTAAGACTAACTCATTATTTTTCCTCATGCTTTTGTCCCTTCAGAATTGAAAGCAGAATCATGGAAAAATCAAATGAAGTATGAGTACATATTTTGTAGCTTAATTTCCAGAAAGAAATGAATGATATATTTTTCAAGTCCAGTGGCAAACGATCAAATGACAAAATCCACCTCCTACATGTAACTGAATCAACCTCTGTTTTTCAACAACAGAATAAAATATTTCAGAGTAGCTGAAGAGTGATGTTATAGTTAACTTTAAAGTTTTCATTTTTCATGACAAATGAAAGTAACTTTTGAACATAAAATTCTTGCCAGGTTGATACTGTTAGTAATTCCAGAAAATGATGACAATTTGGAAGACACTCCATTGTTACCACTTTTATTACTTTCTACCCATGCCATAAATTGCCTTTAATCCCTCCTCTAAACATTTGAAGACAAAAACATTTTCTTTATAACAAACTAAGGATCACAGAGTCCCCATCTTCCTCTGAAATAGCTACCAGTAAATTTAAGTTGAAGTATTTGGATTGGGAATTAAGGAAACGTTTTTTTAGCACTTAGTCAAAATCCAGTAGATCCCCTCTTAAATTTACTTGGAGCTCTTTAAAGCATTTTGTGACATTTAAAAATGTACTTCACAAGTATTTAGATCTCCAAAGCCTCTTAATAGTCTCCACATCTTACTAATTTTGTCCTAAAGACACATTTTCGTTCAGATCACAGGAAGCAGTGGTTGATACAAACACATTTACTTTTATACAAAAACAAATTCAGTCATCTCTTAGGCCAATGACGATGAAGACAGTACAGAGTATGCTTGGAGGAGACCCCGTGAAAGGCTTTAGGTCAAACGTCAATCTGACATTCACTTATGGAGTAGTAACTCCATGTCAGGCATTGGGAACAGCTTAGTTTTGGAAAGAAACAAACAAGTAAGTCAATAGCAGGTTATGCATTAGTGTAACCACCTGTGTTTGCCTGAACCTCCAGAAAAGTTTCATTAAATGAATAAAAAGAAGTTAGAAGAATGTGTTCTAGATCAGGTTGACACATGAGCTTTATTTAAAGGATAAACATTTCAGTTTCCCAGAAAAGGGAAAATGCAGTTAATGGGAAAAGAGGAGGAGTATGACATATGCAAAGGCTGAGCAAGATCAGAGAAAAGCACAATGAGTTCCTACAACTATGAGCAGTCATCCCATTGCAATAGATTCTCCACATCACCAGGAATGACTGTTTACACGATGTTGCTAGTCTTGCCTCAGACTCTCGGATGTAGGCTGGGATGGTCAGTTTTCTCTTCTGAGCACCTCTGCATATGCACACATAAATGATGTGGAAAGCAGCAAAACAGCACCAGGACACTAAACAACTTCTCTTCTAATTTCTAAGAAGGGTCAAGGAGAATTTGTCAAAATGTGTCTTCTGCTTCACCAGGAGACTCTTCCTATTTTATTTATTCACTTAAAAGGCAAAGAGAGACCAAGAACTAGAGTATGAGCCCCCATCTGCTGGTTCACTCCTCAAATGCTTACAACGGGCCTACTATCAGGCACTAGGACCTCATTCCAGGTCTCCCACTAGTTTGGCAGAGATTCGGTCACTTTGAGTCTCATAAAGTCTGTGCTCCAGTGTGGGAGGTGGGAGTCCCAGGGGTCAGACCAAGTGCTTGTTCTCCAGGCTTGGTCTTATACATCCCTAGTCCCTTTGGGGTGCATTCAGAAAGAGCACCCAAAGGCGAGCAATCTGATGTAGGCAGCGAGTGAATGTCACTTTAAGGAACAGCACCCTGGAAATGAGGTATCAACATTGCCTCAAGCCAATCAGATCGGCCCCCAGCACAGCACCACTTTCTCACCCCTCTATTTTGCCAGTTGATGAACTCGGATCATGTAAACTTGCTCAGTTCAGCACTTCGTGAATCCACCCTTCCTAAGCATCTTAGCAAATGTTGCTTCCTCCAAACGCCAATTTTATTTCAACACAACTCTGACAACAAGACATTTTTTTCCACACTTTAAGCAGGAAAAAAAAAGAATGTGTCCCTGGAGGTCAGATAATGCTGCCAGAGTTGGCAGGAAGAAGAAAAACAAGGAACAAAAAGTCAGCTTGGAGGCTCTCTGCAGCAGCAATCAATATTAGCATCTTCCTCCTCGGGCTCTCCGTCTGGGCTGTCATGGTGGATTTCATCAGCTCCAAGTCTGGGTCTGTTGAGTAACTGTACATGCTCCATCACCTTTCCCTCCTGTCTCACCCCTCATTCAAAAATATCTAAAACATTTTCAGCTGAGTAGGAACAAGATGTTCATTTCACAGTCAGACATCAAAGACTTTAAGTGAAAAGGCATGGCAGAGATGACACATCAAGCATTTTTAAAGAAAGACACATAGGTGCTACTTGGAAAGGATGACGGAAGTAAAAGGAAGGGCAGCATTTTGTTTGTGAAGAGAGAAAGCAGTTGCTATGCAGAGAGAATATGCTGTGAGAAGAAATCACGCATTGGTTAAAGAACATAGAGCACAGCTTCCTGTATTTTGTGCACTCTGTGTCTACAGTACAGACACATACCTCTTGTGCATGATACTTGAAGGTATGTGGGAGGGAGAGCGAGGGTGAGCAAATGAACTTCTATCCCCTGGTAAATTCCCCCAGTACAAGGCCAAAGTCAGGAGATGGGAATGCGATTCTAGTCTCCCATGTGGGTAACAGGACTCGTTACAAAACCCATTGCCTCTGACTACCAAGCTCTGAGTTAGCAGGCTGCTGGAGTCACACATGGGCAGATTCCGAACCCAGACACGCCATATGGGAACAGGCATCTTCACTAGTCAGCCAAATACTAACCCTGCTGTATTTTTTCTTTTTAATGTGGTTGCATTCACACAAAATGGGATAGCCAGAGCATTTCCTAACCAAGATTTCACCCTTTGAGAATCCTAACATGGGAAGTTAAAAGCTCAACAGTTGTGACTGGTTCAATTTCACAACTGGGTTTTCCAATCAGCAATCTAGAAAACAGAAGGAAAATATGAACAAAATGAAATTACACAAAAATGAGAAATTAATATTTTTGGAAATCTTCTACAAGCAATTTGGAGAAAACAAGCAACCACACAGAAAGGAAAGACTATAAGACAAAAAGGCAGCATTATGCTTTACATGAAAGAGACAACTACTGAATAGTAAATGATCATAACAATGCTATACTAATATTTCTGTAATATCTTTTACTGTTTAGGAAACTTCAGAAACAAAGCAAACTATGTCAAATGCATTTTAAAGGTAGATATTTTCCTCTACACTGGAGATATAAGAAGCATCAGAGAACATAAGGAATTTTTTATCTTTTCAGGATGAGTTTAATTATGGGGAATTAGGAAAAGACATGAAACCAGATATAATCAATCTGCAATAAATAAAGCAAAGCTCCTCTCTGGCAATGCTTGGAAGAATTCAGAAGAATGATTGAATGTGTGATTTCCAGGTAATGGAAACTTCTCCCTCCAAGGACCAATCTTTATATACCAATTTTGAATCAAGGATTTTTTTTTTAAAGCAAATATTTCTTTTTCCATAAATGGAAATCTTCATCACCCCATGTTCATTGTTGTCCAGGTGTCTCTAGGCTCTGTGGTGATACAGGGCACTTTTTTAAGGCCTCCTAAGAAAGCTTGCCCATGCACTGGTCCAATGCTCTGTATTTTATTGGCTTTGTGTAGACTTTTAAAGTTGTTTTTCTTTCTTTTTCTTTTCATTTCTTCGTGGGATGGCAGACTGTGAGCCAGCATGTCAATGTCTTAGGTAGAACCTCTGTCTGCTTTTGATAAATTCTGTCTTCTCTAGAGGAGAAAATCGGATAACGAAGCTGACTTAAATAGTGCCTCGACTTAAACCAATAAGATTCTGAGTTTAATTCCAGCTAAACAAATAGATTTCCTTTACTTGTAGGCAGTAATTTCAGCTGCCACAGGCTTCTGCCTTCCCCACAACTCCCACATACTTCAGGATTCCCAGCTGTGTTTAGAAGGTTAAGGAGGCCAGCAGTGGAACTTACAGATAGGCAAAATACATCAGGTCTATTTGAAGAGTATGAAATT